TCTAGATTTAATATACATTTTAAAATGTAAATATAATTTATTTTATTTGAATTTTATAAGTATTTTAAATTATATAAATATAATTTAATTATGTAATTTAATATATTTAATGTATGTTGTATAATTATAATTTATTTTAAATTAAATCTGTAATAATTTTTTATGTATATAATATTTGTTTTATATTTAATTATTTTACATTTTATTGTGTTAATGATAATGAAAAAAATAATGTATTATTTCATTGATTTAAAAAAATTACACTGGAACTTAATATTATTTTATATTTTATATATATGTCCAGTACATGTGCTGTGCTGTACATATGGTGAGATTTTTTTTAACACAATAATGCATTTCATGTAAACATAAAAAACATGTCAGCCTAATTATACATGGCAACTATTCAGCTGGTCATAGACCAGCCTAACCAGCCGGTCTTAGTAGTGAGATCAGTGTTTTAGTTCAGCAGGTCAGTGCTGTATTGATTTCCTTTAATACACTGACGTGAAGGAGAGGAGCGCTGCTCGCTGACCCGTGGCCGTGTCGAGTTGCTCCGATCACCACAGGCTCTCGGCTCATATTATATTAATATACAACAATATAAACATAATTCCTTCATAAATATCAAAATAACTTAAATATTTTATTCTATTTTTTATATAATTTTGTAATAATTTCATTTTTTTTTAAACATTTATTATTTTATGTATTTATATATTTGACAAACATTTTATATGGCACAGATTTTAACACATTCATTTCAACACTACCTAAAAGTTGCTTTAGGATGTGGTCATATTTTATATTCCATTTTATTTTTTAATATAATTAATGATTTAACATTTATATAACATTTGTTTATTTATATTTAATAATATAACATTATATATAACAATTAATATAACATTTGTTTATTTATATTTATTGTATATATATCATTTTCTCAGGCTCTCGGCTCGTATTAAGCTGAACGAGAGTTATAGACTGCTCTCTTTATCTTTATGCTTCTTTATGATCCAGTGGGAAACATAAAAGATGCAGGAGCGCATTAGTGCATCAGGTCAAACCACAAAAGGTCACGTAACGCTGTTGTTCTCCTCATGCAAGGCTTTCTCTGGGAACTCGAACGCTGACAGTGTGGTGATGTACAAACTCCAGCAGCCGGTCATCGCTCAGTACGTCCGGATACTGCCGCTCCACTGGAACCCCAACGGCAGGATCGGCCTGAGACTCGAGGCCTACGGCTGCCAATACAGTACGTCTTTAACAATCTTTCATATTATGAAGTGTTTATTTATTAAAATATGATTTAAAATCTTTCATATCACAATTTTTTTTTTTTTATTAAAAGATGATTCCAAATCTTTTGTTATGAAATTAATTTATTATAGTTATTTATTCATTCATTCATTCATTCATTCAAATATGAATTAAAATGTTGTGTTTTTTTTTATTTGAACATTAATTTCATATTATAAAATGTATGCATTTATTTAAATGTAATTTAAAATATTTTATGTTATGAAATTAGTTTCTTGTTCATTCATTTAGAGTAAATATGAATAAAATGTTATAAATGTTTTTTTATATAATTATTTAAATATTATTTAAAATCCTTCATGTTGTTTATTTAAATATGACATTTATTTAAATTATGAAATTATATTATGATGTTCATTATTCAGCTATTCATTCATCCATTTAAATATGAATACATTTGTATTTATTTAAATTGAATAAAAAATTATTTGTGTATTTAAACAAATAAATGTATTTATTTGTTTAAATATGATTTAATCTTTTACGTTATAAAGTCAAATTTATGTAATTGGTATTATTCATTTATTTATTTAAATTTGATTTTAAAACTTTCATGTTATGAATTTTATTTAATATTGTTTAAAATATTTTGTTATGATAGACATTTTATAGTATTATTATTATTATTATTATTATTATTCATTAATTAAATATAAGTTAAAATCATTAAAATTATGAAAATGTTTTTATTTAAATATGATTTTTAATCTTGCATGTTGTGAACTGTCCAAATGTTTCGGTTTGACTTCCTGAAGAGTGAAACACTGTGACACTTCCAAAACATTGATCAAAACTTTCAAAACTATGTGTAAATGGAACCAATGTAGTGAGTTTAGGTGCGAGACTGTGTGTTTATGCAGCCAGTGGAAGACCTGTTTGGTAAGACTCGTTATTTTGGGATTTCAATTTGATGCAGTTTACCTTTAAATATAATTTATTTTAGTTAGCTGATGACAATCTTAATGAAACTCCAGATCAGTCTGTGCTTTATAATATGACAATTTAACGTCACATATCACCAAGCAGGGCCGGCCCTAGCATGTTGGGGGCCCTAGGCAGTTTTTCAAAAGAGGGCCCCCCCCATCCCCCGTCGTATACATCTTACACTGACACTTTATTATAAAGCAATGTTATTTTCTACCCGGTCTCATGGCAAAAACGTACCTGGGGGCACATTTTCGCAAGACGCGAAATACGTACCAATAAGTACATATCACTGCAGTTTCCAAAAGAAATTAACACTAGAGGCAGTAAAACTCCGACACCTTTTAAATTATTTTCACACAAAGTATGATTTACAGAGTTTCGATTAATAAAGCGTAATTTTCGCACAATTACTTGAAGAATATTATGTTATGACTTCAAAACAATTTTACGGAGACGTACTTGAGAGGTGAGGAGCTCCAGTTCGAATCCCATGTAACTACGGTTCAACAAAACACTTCAAATCTGCATATAAGGAAGTTCAAATGGCGCGGTTGCATCACCAAATGCATTTTAATATCCGTTTTGCATTTGTTAACGCTATCGGGTACGTTTAGGGTTGGTTTTGGTGTAGGGCGTATTTCCAATACGACAGAGCATTAACTTTTAGCGACAATCCCCGGATATTTGAATTCTGAATCGCCGCAATACGTACCTGAAGAAACGTAATAAAAACAGCAATATGTACCTATATCAACGTAATAAAAACATGCCAGGGTTGACGTATTGAACCCGTGTTTTAGCGCCACTCAGTGGACATTTCTTTGGACTTTGGACTTTGAAACTGCGGCGAAACATGCAGTAAGGTACTTAAAAACGGTGTTGCAGAAAAGTACCCAGAGGTACGTATTTTTATGAGACTGGGTTGGTTATTTTAGTATCATTCATGTGCTATTATAGTTTTTGTTAATATATTGAATTATTTTTATATTTTCTGCTGTCATTTTCATTTTAAAGTTTTAGTAATTTTATTGTTTGTTTTTGTTGTTTTTATTAGTTTTGTTGATTTTCTGTATAGTTATTACGTTTTATTGTTTGTTTTATCGTTTTGTTTTTACGTTTTAGTGTTAGTTGTTTTAGAACATCAAGATAAACTAAATGAAAATGGGAAATGTTGCCTTGTCAACTAGCTAAAATAAAACAGTATAAGTATTTTATTTCAGTTAACGTTTATTTTATTTCAAGTAACATTTTTTTTTTTTTTTTTTTTTTATTTAGTTAATGATAATAACCCTGACACCTTGACTATATTCATAACATGGAACAAGTGAAAAATAGAAAAAACTAATGAAAAAAATAACTATATATAAACAAATAATATGTTTTTAAAGTTTGTTACATTTTTTTAAAACTAAATCTGTTCTTTTCTTTTCATAAGAACCAACTGAAAACAGAAGGAAAAACCATCACAGTACTTTAAAATTCCTCCAGCATAGGATCTTCATCCATTAGCCTTAAACTTGTGGTTTAGTCTAACGTGACCTATTCGACTTTCTTAACAATCAAGCACTTACTTATCATACATGCATACATATATATATATTTAAAAAATCATACACACATATTTACACAAAACATGATGCACCAGTACAGTTATTACCCAGTTTTAATTTCCGTATGTGCGTAGAGTTTGCCGTACCTTGTGTGTGTTCGGGGAGGGCGAGCTGAATTGGTCGACCCAAGAACAGATGAAGGTCATAGAGGTAAGGCACTTCATCTGTACACATCAGACTGAAGGTGGTTCCTTTTCTGCCAGCGCGCGCCACACGACCTGAAAGACAGAGATGAGGGTTAAATCTCCACCTCAGACCGCTGGACAACCTTCAGTCTGCTCCGTCACACACCGACTCTGTGCAGGAAGAGTTTGGCCTTCGATGGGAAGTTGAAGTTGATGACGTTGTCCAGGAGCGGGATGTCAATGCCACGGGCCGCCACATCTGTGACCAGCAGCACCATGGCCTTGCGGTGGACGAAGTGGCCGATGTTGATCTCAAGTCAAGTCTCGGATTATTGTTTGGATGTTTGGATCACCTGTAAATAAACTGCACTTGGGTTCTTCACTACGCTCGCCTTCAGTGGACTGATTCGTTACAAATATGAAGATATATTTACTTATTAAGCTCTTTTAACAATTATTTAAAACTTTAAAAAATGTAAAAGCTTAACCATTGCTTTCAGAAAAATGTATGAAAGTTTTGTGAGATTAATGCTTTAATAAAGCAAGAACGCCTGGATTATGAAAATTAAAGAGAATAATTTATTATTATTATTATAAATAATAATACAGAATAATCTATTTTGGGCATGATTTATTCCTGATTCAAATGCAAAAATGTATAAGTGTAAACAAATGTTTGAATAAAGATATGGTTTATTTAAATATTTGTGTTATTTGATAAACACCAAAGTGATTAAAAAATCTGAATGGCTGTTTGAAAACATGTAAATACTGTTTGACTTCCTTTGACCGCCAAAGGACAAACAAGCAGGTGTCAGAAGTTGCGCTTGGCTGCGCAAGGTGCAGGGGTAACCATGGTAACGGTGTATTTCTGCTGTTCCTAAAGCCCCACCTGCTGTCAGAGTGAACTTGCATTTTTTTTTCAGCACGTCTGCTGCTTTGTTCACATAAATGAGAAAATCTGACCGAACTTTTATCGAGCATTACCCTCTGAACTCTGACATGGGGCCCCCTGGAGGCCACGGGGCCCTATGCAACCGCTTATATCGCTTATTAGGTCATTATGACACGCGTTACTCAGACGAGTGTGTTTGAGTCTCTGGCCTGATGTATGACTGGTCTCTCAGAGGTCCTGTGTGGCAGTTTTGTCCTGTGGCTCTGTTGAATGAGATGTGTTGTCTCTGGAGTCACACGGGGCAGAACCGCAGGGCAAAAGCTCTGGTCAACATACATAGAGTGTTTATTTGCCTCAAGTGCATTAAGAGCGTTTGGATTGTTTCCATGTTCATAAATATAGCAGACCATTAGGGATGGAGTCTTTTTTTCCCCTTCATTCATGAAGATGTATAATTTATTGCTGGCATCTGCAGGTTCTGTCCAGTGTCAGGCGTTTGCATCATCTCTGTTGACCTCAGGTTTAAACTCTCTCTGCTCCGCTTACAGGGACAACAGACCTGCACAAACACGCTGTATACACCACTAATTATAATGCAGTTTAATAGTTAGCGTCAGGGGTTTGTTGACATGTCAGAGTGCGCAAACAAACAGATCAATGTTTTGAGAGCGTCACAGTGTTGCCGTCTTCAGGAAGTTAAACTACTGACTTACAGTGACGCTGAACAATAAACTGACACTGAGTACACATCACACACAGAATCTTTATTTATTCATTTATTTATTTTTTTAACATTCTCTATTGTGCATTATATATTTATCATACTTCATTATTTATTTATTATAATCCCTTTATTTATTTATTTATTTATTTGTAGTTCATGATCTAAATATGTATTTATTTGTTTTAGTTCATTATTATTGTTTTCATTTTAGATCGTTATTATTTACTTACGTAATTTGTTACTTATTTTATTTAAATTTTTTTTTTTAGTTCATTATTATTTATGTATAGTGCATTTATTTAATATAGTTCAATATTTAATTTCAAATTTATTTATGATGTTTCATTATTAAAATATTTATTTTAGTTCATTATGATCTATGTATTATTGTTATTTATTTATTTATTTATTCATTTATCTATTTTAGTTCATTACTATTATCTATTATTGTTCATCTGATGTGGTCAGTTTTGACGGTAGCGCTCACTTGCTCTTCAGGCCGGATCCCAGCGCCACTCCATCAAACAGAGACGTGTTGTCCATGAACTTCAAAACCCTGCTGAACTCTGGGATGCTGGTTCACATGGAGGAACGCAGCGGACACACGCTCACTCTGGAGTTATTCAGAGGGAAACTCCTACTGCAGCTCAGAAAAGGTACTAATACACATCTCTCAGCTGCTGGAACTAACGAGCCTCTTTTATCTAAAGTCATTCGGTTTCAGGCAGATGGCATGAAAGTAGAGCGTTTAGGGCCACAAACTACGCTTAAAAGACTTACGGTGCATGGTGGCGGTATGATAAAGCTGTCAGTTAGTTAGTCAGTACATTGACATAAACCATGGTACTGAATTACTGTTTACCATATTCATATGCCTTCTTTTTTATAAGTGAATCGCACCCCTTTGGGAGCTATTTTTAGGAAACATGGGCCTGGTTTCACAGACAGGGCTTAGACTGAGCCAGGATTAGGCCATAGTTCAATTAGGACATTTAAGTCAAGTCAAGTCACCTTTATTTATATAGCGCTTTCAACAATACAGATTGTGTCAAAGCAACTTTACAGTATTAAATAGGAAAACAGTGTGTCAATAATGCAAAATGACAATAGTAAACACTCAATTTTCAGTTATAGGCAGTTTATCATTGAATGCAGTGATTTCAGAGATGAAGTAATTTTTATAAACGTGCCTTAGAAAAAAAAAACATTACTGCTGTGCAACTTGAGACAAAACAACGGCACTGACTTATTTTAAGATCAATCAGTGTAAGTTTCTTTCAGTTGAAACAGCTCAGATTTACATTTTAGTCTGGGACTAGGCTTAACTGACATCAAGGGCTGGATGGTGATAATTGTTTTTAAATAAAACTGAGATTATGTTTTTTTGGTCCAGTTGGAAATCAAACCACTATAAATTCTATTCTTGGCTCCTTGGCTGAGCATAATAAAGCAGTGGTGAAAAATCTGACTCAGAATTCAGATTTGACAAGCAAATAAATTCTGTGGTCAAATCCTGCTTTTTTAATTTGAGACTTTTAGCAAAAATGAAGCCCTTTCTTTATTTTAGAGACCTAGAGATAGTTATTCACGCTCTTATTTTTTCAGGTTTAGACTATTGTAATACTCTCTATATGGGAGTTGGTTCAAAATGCGGCTGCGAGATTGCTGACGTGATCATATTACTCCTATCCTGTCTTCTCTCAAATGCTTGCCAGTTTGTTTCCAGATTGAATATAAACTTTTATTGTTTGCTTTTAAATCTCTGAATGGGTTGGCACCAAAATACCTGGAGACATTAGTGAACCGGCATCCCTCTGTTAGGCCCCTGAGATCCTCTGATCAGTTTCTTTTAGTGGTTCCCAGATCGTGCTTTTTCGGTTGCTGACCCCAAACTTTGAAACTCATTGCCTCTATGTATCAAATCATTTCTAGTTTTAAATCTTTGTTAAAAGCTCATTTATTAACTATGGCTTTTAAGTCCCCATGCTGTTAATTCTTAGGCGTGTGTTTGTTTTATGTTTTCTTGTCTTGTGTTTGTTCTATGTTTTTTTCTGTGTAATGGTTGATTCCTTTACCTATTCTTATTATTTTATTTTATTTTGATGTGCAGCACTTTGGGCAACCTCGGTTGTATTGAAATGTGCTTTATAAATAAAAATATAAATACAAAATACAAATACACAAAAGCTGTCAGGAACATGTCAGGGTCACATTTCACCTCAAAACCAAAATAAAGAACCAAGAAATTATATTTTACTTAAACTGTAGCCTGTTTTAGGACCATTAATATGTTTTTGCATTATGACATTATTTTTAATCATAAAATATGCATATAAAAATGCATTGTTGTAATGAGAATTTTGGGGAAAATGTGCTTAATTGTCTTGAAAATAATGTCATAAAAGTGTTATAATGCAAAGTGTGTGTGTGTGTCAGGGTTCTCTCTCTCTCTCTCTCTCTCTCCCTCTC